GCTGCTTTTCACCCTGGAGCCCGCAGATCTCTGCCTCCGCCGTCGCAAATGTCGCCCAGCCGCACGGTTCGGAAGAACCGAAAATGATCCCTCCCGGGAAGCAGCAGCCTGGTAAATCACGCCTCCTGCCTTCGTTTTCTCTCACAGCTCAAAAAAAGTGTCCAAAATGCTGGCGCCCGGCAAGGAAACGGCGGGGCAGGCGCTATTCCCACCGCGGGGTGCGTGCGCGCGGTGGGAGAGAATATCCTCTTCCAGCCGACGCGGAGCTGAAGTTCGCCTCCCATCAATCTCAGCCTGAGCAGCCATGAAATAGCTGAGTCATAAAACCCTCCCCTTCCAAAATAAAAGAGGGGAGGGGCAGGAACTGGTAAAAAAAAACCCGGAGCGGGGTCTGTAATGGAGACACTAAGCGACTCCAGCTGGAACGTCTGTTCAATGCGATTTCTGTCCCACCAGCCACATCAGTCAGCCCTCCGCGAGCTACGCGCCGAACATCGCAAGTGGGATTAAAATCATCTTTAATAGTTGGATGTGCCATCAGCTATTTGTACTGCTGGAGCCCAGCAGCTCTGTGGAACCGCACACCCAGCGCAGCGGGACGGGGAGGAGCAGGGCGATTGCTCACCCACAGCCGTTCGCCCCCGTACGCGCACACGTACGCGGTTGCTCGTTTTTACACCTCTTATTTTTCATGGCAAGAAGGGATTTGACTGCATCTGGATTTTTTTTGCAGGAGGAGCAACCCCAGGCACCAGTACAGGCTGGGGCGGAGCTGCTGGAGAGCAGCTCTGAGCTCAGCCAACTGAGAGAGCTCTCCATCAGCCTCTGTAGAGACCTGGTGAACACTGTGGTGGGGAACAGCAAGGGGCAGATTAGGAAGAACGTGCAAATGGGCCTGCTCCCACTGGTCTTTCACATGAGCGACCAAACGCAGAACGTGGCCAAGGTACAGCTGTCAAGAAAGATGAGGAGCTGCTGCAGAGAGTCCAGCGGAGGGCTACGAGGATGGTGAGAGGACTGGAGTATCTCTCCTACGAGGAGAGGCTGAGGGAGCTGGGCTTGTTTAGCCTGAAGAAGAGAAGGCTGCTAAGGGGACCTAATAAATGCTTACAAATACCTGAAGGGTGGGTGTCAGGAAGATGGGGCCAAGCTCTTTTCAGCAGTGCCCAGCGACAGGACAAGGGACAATGGGCAAAAACTGAAGCATAGGAAGTTCCGTCTGAACATGAGGAAGAATTTCTTCCCTCGGAGGGTGACGGAGCACTGGAACAGGCTGCCCAGGGAGGTTGTGGAGTCTCCTTCTCTGGAGATATTCAAGACCTGCCTGGACAAGGTCCTCTACAGCCTACTCTGGGTGACCCTGCTTGGGCAGGGGGTTGGACTGGGTGACCCACAGAGGTCCCTTCCAACCCCTACCATTCTGTGATTCTGTGATTCTGAGGTGGGAGCAGGAGAAGGCAAGCAGAGCAGGGTGATGAGCGAAACGAGGGCCGCGTCGCTGTGTTGGAGGGTCTCCTGCTGCGCTTATCCTTGTAGCATCAGAGAGTTTGGTTCCCTTTCGTGCTGGGGAGCGTGAAAGCCCAGAGCTGAAGAGGCATCTTTGCTTCCAGCTCCTCCTTCCTCCTTGTTTGGCCCACCAGCTGCTTTTGGCTTCAGGGTGGAGGTGTGGAAGGGCTCGTCTGGGGGTCCGGAGGGGACAGCGCGGAGAGGGATCTGCACCCGACAGCGGAGCGCAGCCCGTGAGCCCAGCGAGCTTATCCCCGGGGCCAATTTAGAGCAGTGGGAGCCGAGGGGTTTGCTCAGGGGTTTTGGTGGCGAGGAGCGATGCCGGCCGGTGCCCCGGCGCG